TAAAAATCACAGCAACTATAAAACAATTCCCATTCATTGCTTGTAACTTTGAAATTTCAGATTTTCTTTCATGGTTATAAAGGACTGGTCATCTATTCATTGATATAAGCATTCTTTGAATTTATAATAAATACTGGATTCACTTTGAGAAATTTCCAGTATGAATCAACATGTTGCTAGAGTTGTTGAGGTCAGAGCACAGACCCTAGCAACCAGAACAAGTCAGGCTCAGTCGCTGCCCTCAGTCAGTTTAAACAGACAATGATAAAAAGCAGGGAAAGAAGATTAATCCAATGTGGCCGCACTGAGAAGAAAAAGAAATAAAGAAATTCAATAAACTCTGCCCTACGCAATCCTTCTTCAGGTCTTAACATGAGATTTACATTTATTTTCTTGCATGCATTACTTATTTCGCTAGTTATTCAGTTAGTCATGAAGGAGGGCAACACATGCTACAGAACATGTAGGGAGTCAGAAGTCAAGTTGTATGAGTCTCCATATGGGTTCCAGGATCAAATTCGAGTCCTCAGCGTAGTGACAAGCAACCTTTACCTACTGTGCCATCTCGCCAGTCCCAACATTTATGTTTAAATAGCAGGCAAGAGTTGCATAAAAATAAACAGTCCCACTCAGGTTGGGGTCATTGCCCCATCACTGAGCCAGCTCTAGTCTCTCATGCAAGGTAGTCTGGAAAGATGTCAGAACTGTGTGGCATCTCTTCCTGGCAGACAAGTTCCTTCTCTGGCTGGCATGGGCTTCAGTTTTTTTCTATATCCTGGCATGAGTTTTCTGGGGGAATTCCAATGGGGGGGGGGGGGCATTGCTTCAGTAACCTGATAGCTGAAGAAAAGGCACTGCATGTCTCCTTAGACCTGTCTTCATTCCTGCCAGGATGGCTATCCACACTATAAACCATATGATACTAGGGTACCAGGGGCAGAGTATCTTAGACTAAGATCTTGGCCCCTGAAGAGATTAAGTGTACTAGCACAAAAAGAAATAATGAAGCATGGGGGATCAACAGTAAGCGCCAAGGATTTAAGAATCACAGAAGAAAAAGACTAGGATGTTGAGCCAGGAAAAATACTCAGCACTTAGTGGTGATGGCTTCGTCTTATTGATTCCTCATGACAACACACTGTATAGTATTTAATTGTGTATCATCCTACTTTACCCTGTTACAAAACAGTTTTAGTATTCCCAGCTCTGGGGTGCTTTCATATACTAAGTGATTTGCCCAACTGGTAAAGAAGTGAACCCAGATTGCAACTTGAAAGCCAGTGATCTCAGGCACTGAACTGCAAAATTCTATTCTGAAGAAATGGGTGACATGTTCTAGCCTGGGAAACAGCAAGCGTCACTTTCACAGACTACTCGACCCCAGCCAAACAGCAGCCGCAGCAGCAAGGGCACCTTCACAGAGCGCCTGCCACGCCCTTCCTACCTCTTAGCCACTGTCTTGCCGAATCTCTGTAACAACCCATGGGCAGGCTTCAAGGGCTCCATGTCCCTGTGAGGTATCTGAAACTCGAGTTCAGGGGCTGAAGTCACACAGTGAGAAATGAGTAAAACTAGAGATCACTTCTGAATCTCTCATTGCCCACTGTTATGAAATGCTGTCCTTCAGCAGAAGGAAAGGAACCAGAACGCACTGGGGAGGAGCAGGGAGCATGGGGAAATACTAGTTCAAACAGTGGCCTGAACTTTGGAGTTGTCCAATGTCGCTGCTTTTGGCTACAGCAGATCAGCAGCAAGTACTTTCAGCCAGAGATATAGATGATCACAGTGTACAAGAAAACACCTAACAGATGGGTAAGCTGTGTAAAAAGGCAATTGAGAGGAATTAATAGGATGAGGGAACCAGTTTGAAATTCTCTCTAGGAGAAAAGATGTATCAAAAGTTAGAGACAAAAGATGGCTTGGGTTCGAAGCAGGAAATAGAAATTTTACAAAGAGGGGCTGAGGAAATGTCTGAGTGGCTAAGAATGCTTGCTGCATAAATGTGAGGCCCTGATCTCAAACCCTAGCACCAATGGAAAAAGCCAGGTGTGGCTGTGTCTGTAACCCAGCATTATGAAGTGGAAGAAATGGGAGGATTCACTGGGGCCTGCGAGATGCCAGCCTAGTTCCAGACTCAGTGAGAGACCCTGCTTCAGAGCAATAGTGTAGAGAGTGAGAGAGCAGGAACGCAACACCGTCCTGTGGTTTCTACTCCTGCACATGGGCATACACACTCGTCCACACACATATACACATACCACATGTATGCACTGCATACTAATATACGGCAAAGAAAAACCTGATAATACTTGAAAATTACAGGGTTATAAAAAGAGAGACAAGAATAATTTTATGGACATAAGCTAGCTATGAACAGAAATATAATAAAAAGAATAAATTTAGAACTATGGAATTCAGGAGTAGTGGGACATCTTGATGTTTAACACAAGCTGACCAGGACAGCTCAGAGAAGAGGAGCTATGACATGCAAGCAAACACCTGCCCCTGTGAGAACAAAAGGCTAGTTAACGCCACTACTATGGGAACTAAGTCTCCATTATGCTTCTCATAGATACTCAGCTCAGTCTGTGGGTAGCAAATTTTTCTCAGGTCAAATGAGCCTTTCACAAAGGTTGGAATATAGGATATTTACATTACAATTCATAAAAGTAGCAAAGTTACAGTTATGAAATAGCAATGAAAATAATGTTATGGTTGGGGTCACCGCAACATGAGGAACTATATTAAAGGCTTGCCGCATTAGGAAGGTTGAGATCCATGGGACTAAGTGTTTAATAAATATTTACCAGCCAAATGGCTATGCAAGTCTATAATCCTTGAAGGCTGAGGCAGGTGGATTGCGAATTCTAAACCAGCCTGGGCTATACAATGTCTCTCTTAGTTGGGGTTTCTATTGCTGTGAAGAGATGCCATAACCATGGTAACACTTATAAAGGAGAAACATTTGATTGGTGGCTTACACTTTCAGAGGTTCAGTCCATTATCATTATGGCGGGACATGGCGGCAAGCAGGCAGACATGGTGCTGGAGAGGTAGCTAAGTTCTACATCTTGCACAGGAAAAGAAAGTGGTCTGAGACATCTTTTGGGTATGGTTTAAGCTTATATGAGACTCAAAGGCCACCTCCACAGTGACACACTTCCTCCAATGAGGCCTTAGCCACTTTAACAAAGTTACATCTCCTAATAGTGTCACTTCCTTTGGGGGCCATTTTCTTTTAAATCACCACACCATCTCAAAACAAAACAAACCAAGATAAGATAACATTTTCACACATTTTGTGACACAATTCAAATTTCTTTAGCCTATCACGACTTTGTGCTGACTTTTATTTATTTGCATGAAACCTATGCCCACTGTCTTCCCAAAATCTTGCAGGTACCACACAGTCCTAATAAAGAAGGAAACGGGAGAGCTGAATGGGAACTCTTCTGAATGAGTGATTCTAGCCTCCCCCAAGGTACTGATCTGCTCAACCTAGAGGGGTATATTCATAGACCCTGCCCCCAGGGTGCCCCTTTAAGACCATAAAATGCTACAGTGCAGTGCTATAAAATCATCTCAGTCACCTATTTAAGTTGTGTCTTGGGTATTCTCACACAGACATGAATTCTTAAAATGTCTCAGAAAAATCAGACAATAAAACCATCACTAAACATTATAGGCAAGGGTCTGTTCTCCAGGATCTCAGAAATGGTTAACACTACGGGGAGTCTGACTACTGGCAGTGTCCTATCCATTCTCTTTTGTTCTAGAACAGCACATGCCACTCACACCTCAGCCCCATCATTCAGCTTAGTGGTTGAAGAGGGCTGGAGAGGTGGTCATAGGCCCTCTTCCCTGATCATGGAAAACTAGTCAGAAATGGTCATGTACAACCCAGGCCGTGGGGAAATGAGAGTTAAGACCAGAATTCTATTAAAACTGTTAGAAAACCAGACTTGCTCTTTTCTGCTAAAAATTCTAGCTAAAAAGGTGATCTCCAAGTCCAAGCTGCCAAGGACCACAGTAGACATGAAGCTATTGCAGATACAGAGTCACAGCAAAGACAGACTGACTCCTAAGGACACCAACCAATCCAGACACATTTAAGGCTGGCTGTTCTTTGTAGTCTTCAGTTTCTGCCCCAATATTATCCTACTTGTGTTTAAGCCAAGTTGATTAAGGTTGAATCAGACTATAAATTCTCAATGGAAGGACTCCCAGATGATCAAATTGTCTAGGCAGCTCTCAGTTTAAATTCAATCAAGATATAGCCCCTCTATTTCATTTACCAGCTGGGTTGGTATGCTGTAAGCCTAAAACAACAATGCCTTGTGTGAACTTTTTGCTTGAGAACTCATAATTGCAACTGAGGGTACATAAGTTCACCCCTTTCTAAACCGAAATAACAGAAACAAACCAGGAAGACGAGCAGACCACAAAGGCTGCAGCAAAGGCAATCTGACCTCCAATCAGCTCATCTCAAACAGGGAAGCTCACCTTTATGCTTTAGCACTGAACCTGCCGCATTCTAAACTGCTGATGTAAGTAAAACTGCACACTGAGAACGTGACGTTAGGAAGAAACAAACAGCGAGCCTGCCTGCTCAGACATTTCCACAAGCAACAGCAGAGATCTCTCTGCCTTATACCACAACTGAGAGAATCTAAAGTATCATACTCCATTTCACTGCGATGTGGGTTGCAAGTATTACGGGAGCAAAAGCCATCGGTGCCACAAACACGGCATGAATAAAGAGCAGAGGGTGAAAATGAATAAACCCATATTGGGAATGCACATTTTCAAGACCAACTCCTGAACTTCAATATTTTCAATATTCAGCATTGTTTTTTACTTGATACTTACGTTTGATGTATGAAACATTCAAAGACATCAATTCCCCCAAACTAGCCAAGCCCGACCACACTTAGTATCTAAGGTCAGAAGATATAGGCTGCATCTAGGTAAGTGTTTTGGTGTGAGAAACGAAGCCTTACCAGTGGATAAGGCCTCCTCCCGAACATCTCCTTCACTAGGCTGATGAATGTTCCAGGATGTTTTTGGAAGTAAAGAGATCTCTTCAGGTGATGCTAATCTCACCATGTCCATGTGATTGCTCTGGAATCGGTACCGAGGGATGAAGCAGATTTTGCCTTGTTTGAAAATGTCCTTGATTATCTCTTCTGTCTCAATTTCATCTTGCATGCTCAAAAAGATGGAAATTCTTTTGGAATTTTGATACTGACTGTGGGCAATCACCTAAGTGGGAAATAAAAGCAATTATAGTTTTTAAGACTATATTTTTCATAAACCAGAAACTCCTCTGACCAATTTCTCCCTTTCGTCACAGCTTTCTCCAAGTAAAGTGATACAGTGAGTTCATGCTATGTTCTGATGCCTGTTTTTTAATTTCAAGACTCAAGATTTGCAAATCTGATGATCCCTTTACCTCTCTGCTAGGCCTACTGTCTGCATCATTAATCATTAAGAAGACATGAAGTGGGAAAGTTGTCTATCTCCAGAATTCCTGAAGTGATCCCAGTTCCCAGTACATGTCAGAGGATTTCTGGTTTATTTTCTCTTTGAAATTTGGATCTCACCCATTTTCCAAACTTTGGATTATTGGGCATTTCTCCCATCAATTTTACCCGTTTAAGCCGAACCTTCCTGACCTCAGCAGAACCTTTTCTACATTTAGACTGATACACAACTCAGCACTTCAGTCTATATGAGGTAAATCATAAATAAGTGAATCACTGCTTCTGTGTCCTAAATAAAGGATTCTGAATCCGTTCACAAGCTCCCACAGAGACCATGCTTTATAACCGTCTCTTAGCTCTACCAATGCTTCTCCATTCAAGAGGGTGTTCACAAAGTTCATTAAAATGGGGCCATGGGGCTCCTGGTATAAGAATCCTTATTTAGTGGAATCCCTCATCAGGCAAAAGGAGCTAAGTTTTAAACCTAGGAACTTACCCAGACTCAGAAGCTGGCCCTTAACTCCCTTTTGTTCTCCATTCCTTTTCTGCTCTCCCCTGTCCTCCAAACTAAAGGAAGGACAACGCAAAAGCCGCTTACAGTATGACTGGCAGAAAGATACAAGTAAAGAAAGCCAAGTTACATTTAATACAAAGGAAGAGAGAAGTCAAGCAAAGCATATCAAATCACGGCTACAGAAGAAAGTCAACCCCTGGTTTCTGAGAAGCTGTAAAGCTGTCAGGAGGCTGGGCAGAAGCGGAACAAATGGAAAGAGGGCTGCCCAGATCTGGAGTAGGCCTAAGACTTTGACACCCTTTATTATACGAGAAAGTATTTCTCTTAATCTCTCTAAGGCAGAGCAGAGAGAACCAAGAGCTGAATAAGCAGTAAGATTCACAGCTGGAATTCGGTGTGAGACTATGCATTTGCCTGTCTTCCTTCAGCCCATCTACATGCTATTTGTTAAGAAGGGAGGATAAAAGGGAACTCATCTTAACAAAGACAAAGAAGCAGAAATCTAAGTCCTGTAAGACAGAGGGAGGGAGAGACAGTATTTACAGACAAAGCAGCACTAAAATATGGACACAGGAGGAAGGCAGAATCCACTCTTCTCTTAGAATTCTAACCTGTGCCTACAAAAGCAGAGGGAATCTTGTAGCCAACACACTTTCATTCATAAATATGTGCAGATAAGAAAAACCAGGGGTTTCATTCAGTGGTAGAAGGCTTCACTACCATCTGCACAGAGAGACAATTAGAAAAAAAATAAGGAAAAATGTTCAGAGACACAGAAAAATGTTCAATCCAGACTTTTTACTTTCTAATTAATTTACTTTCTAATTCCTGAAAGATCCAAAGGAAAACTAGTAATCAAGATGTGGTGATTTGAGTAAGAATGAACACCATAGGCTCATACATTGAATGTGGTGTTCCCATTTGCTGAACTATTTAGGAAGGATTAGGAGGTGTGCACCTTCTTGTAGAAGGTGTGTCACGCAGGGTGGGCTGTAGAGGACATAAAGTCCTTCTACACACGGATGAGTAGGAGGGAAACCGGGATGTTAAACACTAAGGGTTGTCCTTTGAAGGAAGAGAGGTATCATCTGTTTTCTGCCCAGGAGGCTGGGAATGATTTGATTAATAGCCTGGTGACCTCTGAACTATCTCTATCGCCAGACCAGACACGGTTCTCACACATTCTTATGTTGGTCACCCACTCTAGACCCTTATCTTGAGCCTTGTTTCTCAGCCAGTGGGACCCACCTTTATGGGAGATGTCACATGTGCTTCGCAAATGGGAGCAAAGGTGGTTAATAGCCTGGTGACCTTTGCACTATCTGGATGACCGAGAGCACCCCAGATCTTTCCCAGACCTTTAACATGTCACATCTGGTCAATAAGACACATGTACCTTGGAAAGAGTTTCAGTGTAACCATGTCCTAATTATTATACACACAGGTTTGAACTAATTATCACCAGAAAACTTTCCCCCCAAATGTGCTGTGCTTAAACATGCCTAAAACAAACTGACCTGTCTAGGGCTCTAGAAGCTTGAGCTAAAACCAGTCAGTGAGTTGTGCTGAGCCAGACTTCCTTGTTTCACGCTAATGACACTCTTCTTGCCTTTGGGATTACAGAGACCCCAAGAGTGGGCTTTGAGGTTTCAAAATCCATAGCCCATGGTAAATCCAGTCTCTCCCTCCCTCTCTCTCTCTCTCTCTCTCTCTCTCTCTCTCTCTCCTTCCCTCCCTTTCTCTCTCTCTCCCTCTCTTCATCTTGTGGATATGGTGTAAACTTTCATCCATGCTCCCCACCATGATTACAGACTAGCCTTCTGAATCTGTAAGCAGACCCCAAATAAAATGCTTCTTTTTTTTTTTTTAAGTTGCCTTGGTGTCTCTTCACAGCAACAGAACAGTAACTAAGCTACAAGATATAAAACTGGAAGTCATAGATGTTGCACAGAATGAGAAAGAAATAATTAAAAACTTGAAATCAATTGAGCATTCAAATGGAAGTTGAAAATCTTTTAACTATATTAAAAAGTTGGGGTCTAGAGAGATGGCTCAGCAGTTAATGCTCTTGCAGACAACCTGGGTTCAAATTCTAAGAGCACACACGGGAGACTCACAACCATCCTTACAACCATTCCAATGGTTCTGACCTCCAAAGGCACCAAGCACACGCGCGCGCACACACACACACACACACACACACACACACTGCACATACATACATATACATACATTCAGGCAAAACATTCATACATATGAACTAAAAATAAAGGCTGCCAATCACATAGGTATTTTCTTTAAACATAATTTGAGGATACCCTTTTAAAAGTTGAGATGAAAAAGTACATGAGAAAGAAGGCAATAGATTCCAGATACAACCCTAACTCAGAAGCAGAAACCCAAGGGGTGACTGCGATGCAAAACGTGAAAATTAATCTACCCATAGATAAACTCAGATTCTAGTTTTGCCAATAATATAGGAAGATGCAATTTAAAACTCCTAGAAAAACAGACCCAAATACAATATACGGTCTAAGTATGTACAAACAAAATATAACACATTTTTGAACAGCTGTATCACTGAGCCTTATCCCTAACGCTACAAGTTTTCATTCTCCCGCTTCCTCTGCTCGATCTTATCTTTTTCATCTCTATAATCCCAGTCCACAGCAAAAACGGTTTACTGCTAGGTATTAAACGCCTGTGAATGAATTAAATTTAAACCGAAATCTGCAGGCGTGGTTCGACATTCTCTACATCTACTAAAGCTTGCGGCAATGCGTATCCACCACAGCAAAAGAGCTCGGCTTGAATGAACAAACGTGCCTGTCGGCCTGCCCTGAAAATCTGCGGCGCTGCGCACCGGGTGTCCGCCAGGAGCCCTACCGGGCCAGCCCAGAGGTGCGAGCGCGCGCCCACGAGAACGCGCACGCAAAGGCGGGGGGGGGGGGGGGGAGGTGCGCCTGCGCAGACATGCAAGCCGAGCCCAAGCTTCCAGGCGTTTAACTCCCCGCAGCCTTCTCGCACCTTCTGGGTGAGGAGGTGAGACTGGCGCAGCCGTTCCTCCGCGCTCAAGGCCCGCAAACGCTGCTTCAGCTCCGTCCGGAGGCTCCGCTTGGCGCTGCTTGCTGCGATCGCCGCCATCACGTGGCAAGCACCGTCCCAGCCACGCCCATCGTGCTCGGCCGCCGGAGTGGGAGGGGACGGGGGCGTGGCCCCTGTGGCCCAGTAGAGGTGCGTTGACCACTTGGCCGTCTGAGCCGGCCCCCCCACTTGTGCCTGCGAATGGCTGCGTGCCTTGGCGTCCTTGGCGTTTGTGCTGGTAGCCAGGTACCTTTACCCTCCCTCACAGCCTACGGAGGTAGCCGTGCTTCTGCCCAAGGTCTAACAAAGGCCGTTAGTTACCCTCGCGGACTCAGTACCCATCTAATTTCCCTAACGTGGAGTGCAGGGTTGAAGAGGTCTCCGAAGGGCGACGCAAGCCAGATGGGTGCACATCATTGCCGGTGGACACTCGGCTCCTCCTGGTCAAAGGATAAAACATTCTGCTTTACCACAAAGTGCCTTTCTCCCCCTTTTTCAGTCATTGGTTCATTACTGATAGGCTGATACAACAAATGGCAGGCCGGTTCTGGAGAAGGACGTTCCTTCCCTGGGGAACTCAGGACTCAGTCACCCTGTTCATTATTATTGAAGAGTTTGCCAGCTGTTGCTGCTGTTGGAACCTGCTGTTCAGAGACACACAATGCCTTTCTCTAATGGCCTTTGACTGAGTGGGGAGCAGAGTAAAGTAAGTAGGTGTGAGAAGCGCTGACTCAGATTTATAGCACCCCCACCCCCATGTTACCCACGCCATAGCTGGGTACTGATTTTTTTAAGAGTTAATTCCCCAGAGCTGGGGAGATGGTTTAGTTGGTAAAAATGCTTTCTACACAAGCACGAGGAGTCGAGTTCAGGTCTCCAGCACCCACGTAAAAAGGCATTTCAGTAAGATCTAAAGAGCCTGGAGATAATGCAAGGTGGGAGAGGGAGAACAAAGATGAACAGAATTCGTATGGACAGTAAAACAAGCACTGAATTCACTCACATCTGTGGTCTCCTCTTCATGCCACCGACTCAAGTCAGTGTGGCCATGTCATCTCTGCTTATCCATATTAATGTTTGAGAATCACTACCATAAATCAATGTGTGTAGCAGGTATTAATCTGCAGGAAGAAATTCAAAACTTAGCGTGCAGGTGGTCCTAGGTTTTATCACAGGCACCACACACACACACACAGAATTGTACATGTTACTATTGATAAATTGCTGTTGCTGAATTCAGGTAAATTGCCTGCCTAGCATTCACAAGGCTCGTGGTTTGATCACCAGTGGTGCAAAAATTATAATAGCTTTGTCCAGGGTGGCAGGGGAGAAAGAATTTTCTTCATTCCAGTCTTTGACACACACACACACAAAAAAAAATACTTTAGTTCCATATGTTCATTTTCATCAAGGATATATTTGCACCTGTAAATGCATGCAACCTTAGGTGTAAAGCTCTTTAGAGTTATGAATCCTCAAAAGATTTCTGCATGTCCTCTCACAGGTAAGGCTCCATGACAGAATCACTCATGTCTCCATTTCACCCATGTTTTCAATCCTCTGGAGCCTTTATTGCCAGCAGAAATCAAAATCACAGGAAGACTCAATAACATAAAGGTGGCAGACACTAAGGGAAGATGTTATACTTGGCACTGTAGGGTAACTGACGCGAAAGAAGAGATCAAGCGTTCATGTAGGAAACAGGTTCTTAAAGATCTTGTAGAATATCTGAACCTTGAAGATTCTAGGCCATTTTGAGCTACATAGGTACATAGGAAGACCCTGACTCAAAATAAAGCAAAGCCAAAGAAACCTCACATAGGACATCTTAAAAGTGGTGGCACACACACATTCAGAAGACTAAGGCAGAAGGATTGTGCTTTCAGGATCACCCTAAGCTACACACGGAGACTGTCTTAAAACAAACACAGTTTCATGTTTAAATGTGAAATTCCCCCACCCACAGTCTCTTGTGTCTGAACACCTAGTCTTCATTTGGTGGAACTGTTTTGGGGTGCTTTGGAACATTTCTAACAAGTCAGTCACTGTGGGCAACAGAGCTCAACGGTGCTATCTTGGTCTAACTCACCTCAATAGGATTTTAAGTAACTTCCTCCCTGGTCATCAAACTTATTCCTTTTCCCTTCCTCAGTTTAACGGTGGAAATAAAATAAATGTCCATGCTGTTTAGGATGAAGCGCCACTGCTAGAGTGCTTGCCTTGCATGCACAAAGCCTGGGGTGTTGGTCCTCTAGGACCACACCACAGGAACTGAACTGAACGTGTTGATGAGGTGTCTGTAATCCTAGCCCTTGGGATGTGGAGACAGAAGGATCAGGCGGTACGGTCCTTGGTGACTTGTCCCAGTGTTTTTATTCCCTCAGTTAAGAATCACACCGCAGTAGTGTTGATAACTGAGGTCGCCTGTAAAGACATGCCTGGCCTTGAGAAAAGGGGCTCTGTCGTTATTGGATCTATTAATAGACTCAAGGGATGTGTAATGCTTATGCTCTAGACCAAAACAGAGGATTTCTATATTGCCATCAAACTTTATTTAAAAATTGAAGCAGGGGCTAACAAAAGACAGTTTTCACACACACACACACACACACACACACAAGTTTAAAAATGGCTTGATATTCATTTAATTGTTTTTGTTCAAACCGCTCCAGGTTCCTGCTGTAGGAGCAGGAAGAGAAGCAAATTCTTCCTAACTACTAGAAAGGCAGACTGATCATGTATAGTCTGACTATTGACTTGGTTTGGGGAAAATGAATTCTGCTTTTTGTGTCTTGCCTGGGCAAAAATGGAGTGGGGGGTGCTGAAAGAAGAGAAGGCAAGAGAGGATCAGAGAGAAAAATGATTTGAGGCTGTCCTTTTAGGGCATCATTTTTGACCCCAACACTGTGTATCTGACTGCCCTATCCATTGAAGCCCAAATGAAAGGCCAGAGAGTAAAGGTTGAGGTGAGTACATCAATGAGAAACTAAGCAACCAGGACCTCTGAGGATAGAGGAAGTGTGGACTCAGGAATTGTTAGGAAGCAGATTTTAGCCCCCATGTGGTTTAGCCTAGAATAACTTTGACTAACAAGCATCCTTGTATGGAAGTCTCTCCCTCAAGGAAGAGGTAGAAAAGACACTACCCTCCAGATCATCATCAGTCCTTACTTCAGTACCTGTCCCTGTGTTGAGTATTGTTGAAGTTCCAGGCAGACTCAAAACTTTAAAACATGAAGCACAAAAAGAAACAAATATCAGTAATTTATTCCATAAAGTGAGAACAAAACATCTGCAACTCCGCAAAGTCAGGTCTCATCTGAGTTGTGTGTACATGGAAGTACTAAGTGCTGGTCACCATTGTCACAGGAGCCAGGGTTCTCTCTGGTCAATAGTGTTGCTTGAGAAGAAAAGAACATTTTCCAGATCTGTCCTGTCATTTCCAGAAAAGTCAGCCAGCCAGATTTAGGTTCAAATTTCTTCATGAAGCCATCTTCCTATGAGAACAAAGCATAGATTTAAGAATCAGTGAAATAATCTTCTCTATACTTTCCCTATGTGTAGTCATTTTATTCTCAGCATTGTTCACTACTCCAAAGCTAAACTCCTTTAGAAACTCTGCCCAATAGAAATACAGTTTGAGCTCTATATGTTGGTTTCAAGGGGTTTTGAAGCCATATATTAATAAGTGTCATTGTAAACCTTCTGTTGCTTTGAAGAGACCATGACCAAGGTAGCTCTTAATTTCATTGGAGGCCGGCTTACAGTTCCATTCTCATCGTGGCGGGGAGCATGGTGGCATGCAGTAGCTGCTCAAGAGCTACAACCTGATTTGATGCATAAGCACAGAGAGAGACTCTAGGGGGTTGGCATGGGCTTTGGAAACCCCAGTGACATATTTCTTCCAACAAGGCCATACCTCCTAATCCTTTTCAATCCTTTTAAATAGTGCCACTCCCTTGTTAGTAAGCATTCAAGTACATGAGCCTATGGAATCATTCTTATTCAAAGCACCACAGAAGGAAAAAAGGAGAAAGAATTTGAACACATATCTAGTTCAATGTGTATTTAGTATATGAATATCTTTCAGGGTATAGACAGTATGAAGCCATTATTGAGATATACTAGACTTCCAAAGAGTAGGACTTTCATCTTCATTCAAATTAGTCTTGTTTCTGTTGTTCACTAGTTATAAGCTCCAGGGAAAGAAATTCTCTGGGTTTTTTTTTTGTTTTATTTTTCTCTCTTTTTCTTTCAGTTGCATAGCACTAAAAAAATGAATTTATATTTATAAATTGTATTATGCTAAAAAATTGTTATTATTATTTTGTTTGCTTTGTTTTCCAGACAGGATTTTTTCATATAACAGCTATGGCTACCCTAGAACTCACTTTGTAAACCAGGTGGCTTTAAATTCATAGAGATCTGCCTGCCTCTGCCTCCTGAGTGCTAGAATTAAAGTACCACTGCCCAGCTGTATTGAGAATTATAAGGACTCATAGTAAATCCAGATTGAACCAATGTTCTTGATTCTAAGAGAATGTTGTGTATTTCCACCATAATTACTTTTGAAGCTGGTCTTTTTTTTTTAATTAGGAAAATCCAGGCTGATATAAATGCCTGTCTATGATATATGAATTCCTAAATTCAAGCTACAGAATACACACACACACACACACACACACACACCAAAAAAAAACAACAATGAACTATAGCACACTGTAACAATATTTTAGCAACTTGAAATCTATAATTATATCTTCATTAGATATTGCTTCTAGCCTCATACTAACTTTTATTATCTAATGAGAACACTGACACTTGGGGAAAAGGTAGCTAAGATAATACAATTCATGGTGAGTAACAGTACATACTGTGTTCTCAACTTTTGGGAGATGGAGACAGGAGGATTACTGTAAGCAAGCCTTGACTACACAGTGAGTTTCAAGCCACCATGGGCTACACAGCAAGATGCTGTACCAAAAAAATAAATAAATAAAAGATAATATAATTTTTGCCTGGCCCAGGGTTAGGATGCGAACATTATACTCTTTTCACTCTGTATATTTCAAAACAAGCTCAAATGACAAACTGTTCAAAA